ATTATACCAATTACAGTAGGCTCGATTGTCGTGTTCAGTCGCCAATTCCTCCATCAGAATGCCATTAAGGTGTAACGCTCAGATAATACAACATGATAATTCATCATGGTTCACAAATTAGCAGAATTGAGAACAGAAATATATAAAATTTATCAACGGCAACACATGCCACAACTTTAATTCCTGTAACGTTCTGCGCTTTATTTTCTCGTCGCAGCTTCACATGTACACTTCCATCACAAAAAATAATACAGCATATGGGGTTAAATACGCTATAAATCACCTTCATACTTTTTATTTAGTCACGCTTATCATTACAGAAGACATCGACATACAGGCTAAATTTTTACCTCTTTTCCGGAATACAGATTCAACAGGCGACGAATCTCTTGCTTATTAAAAGCTTGCTGAAAACTGATATCTTCCGGTTTCATCCCTTGGTCAAGCAGCTCCTCGACCTGCTCCAAGAAAATCTACAAGATTAATTTATTCGAGAAAAAGCGGAACTAATCATTTATGCGACCTGAAGCTTTTCTAACGGTTTTCCTAAGCACTCTTTAACGTACGAATCTAACGCTCGTTGGTATTTTACTTTGATCTGCTTTCGTGCGGCATTCAAACATGATATTTTCAAGTGAGACAATACGCCTAAATCATAAATCAAATAGTTTTAAAAACAGGTTTCTGATTTACATAATGATTAGTGACATTGTTTGAGTTGAATTTAATGGGCTTACTGCTGACCGAAAATACTAAATCTCCTATGAAACTTGCAATCACCAAAATATCGGTTGCTCATTTATTCGGTTTTATACAGCTTGTGTGGTGCTGGTCTGTAATGTCACCATCCAATATGTGGCGTTTATTTTCCACCCTAGTATGAACAATGAATGAGGATGCTGCAATTCTATCTGAGATAGAATCTTGTGAATTTCTTGCAAATCGGTTGCGCCTGAAGAGTAGCTGTCTAACCGTTGCAGCAAATGATGACTCCACCTATAAAACTACATTATAAATAGATTAGGAAATTCGCTGTAAAGATAACGACAGTGTAAGTTATGGTTGTGCATTTACAGTGCAAATTATGGTAGTTCTCCATCTGAACAACAGCCGGGGGAGACTTGCTGTATGGATCTTCAGCTGCCTTTTCGATTGCCTCACAAATGGCGTCGACGAACTTTGGATACCAGCGATCAAGGTCACCACGTCGTTGAAACCCTTCATATTTTTCCTCCACTTCCGTGGCGAAGAACTGGAAACAAAAATACATGACCCGTTCAAAGATCGTTCAAATTAAAGCCTCAGACACAACATCCAGCTATGCAAACCTGGAACTGCCTCAGGGCAGGCAAAATGCCCAATTTGGCTCTTTTTACGGATTTGCTGTAGGACATGTTTTGCAAGGTTCCCTCCTAAAAACTACTTGTTAATTTTAACTACGTCGTCGCACCCTTCATCCATACCATGAAGGTGTCGAAACGCCGTTTCACAAGGACGACGAATTTGCCCAGGATAATCGACGAGTGCTCAGCCGAATCGTTGATCATCACGCGTTCGGTTAAGAAGGCCAGCAGGTAGACAATGTAGCTAAATGTAAGTAGGCATATACCGAGGAAAAACGCAGAATGAGGTAGGAAATGCTCACAAAGGATTCACTTTCTTACAGTAGTCCAAATACTCGTTAAGCGCTTCATCCGCACATTGGAAAATTGACGACAACAGCGTTCGAATCTGATCGTTCAGCTGACGTCTGAAAAGATAAAGGATTAGTTCGGGAAAATCTACGGCTCCTGTAATGCAATTCACTGAATCTTTCAAACAAATACTAATACCTAGCTAAATTTGAAAGGTTCCGGTTATGAACAACTTGCGGAAATGAAAGATCAGAGCAGCACAATCAGTCACTAGAGGGCTCGACTCGTAAATAAAATAGAGCGAGAGTAATTTCCTGTCAAAGCAATCACATTTCATCTGCGTGGTGTAGATTAAGGAGAAATACTCCATGAGGAGCTGACGATGAGAACACAAATGATGCATACAGTAGATGTGTAAGGGAGACAGATATCTGATTCCAATCTCCTCGCTTCTTTCAAATACAATACTAAACCAAATGCAACTACATAACCACCTACTAATAATCAATTAAAAACAATTCTTAACAACGTAGGTTTGCAAATGACTCACTCCATTTTTCTGTCCATTTCTTCTCCCATAGATTGATTATCCTGAAAACAAAATTTTTTCTATCAGAAAACCGCGTTTCCATGGATTGTCGATTAGTTACTTCAGGTGAGACGTTCGAGGCATCAAGACTAAAGAAACATATACAGAACTTCTTTTCAGACTGCACAATAGACTCGAACGCGTTTACAACAGTCTCGACGATCTAAAAAACTGACTGTAGAAAAAGTAGCCGTGAGAAGGAAGAGAAAAGCAGCTGCCATGCAACCATTGAATATAAATACCGAACGGAATTGCTCAGTGTCCAGCGGCAGGGCCTCTTCAACGTCGTCTCTCTTGGCAAGAGATGTGGCTGAAGATGACCGTATAATTCTTGTCATGTCTGATGACTGAGGTGGCCTTACTGAAAAACAAAATATTCAGATAAGAGCGATAAGTATGGACTTTTTCGACTCTGGAAGGATAGTTCACAACTAACTCAACCAGCTAGAAAACCACCCAGCTGAAAGACCAGAAGATATTTAATGTACGCAGAATCAGCTTCAACATTTTCAGCGATGAAGCAAAGTTTTTCATAACTGCGAACGCACTGCACTCATTTCGTTTGATGTATGTTGTATTATTTTGTGCAAAGAGAATATCACATTGTCGTGAGGGGAACTATGCGGTGGAAGTGAAAAACCTTGCGCTTGTCATCGGCTTTTCGACACATCATTAACACAGGATGAAGCAAAGCATCTAACCACTACATGGTCGACTTTTCAACTTTATTTATTCTTTCACGAAGGAACCAGTACTGATGCTTTTCTTTTGATGAAGTTGATGGCGGAGTTTTGATCTTCATTTCCATGCCATAAGCTTGGAGTGTCTTATCATAACGTTTGTGGCTACTACAGTGCATAGTCTCCTCTTTCTTTCAAGCATAATGGTAACAATTTATCAACCTAGGAGGGAAGAAATGCGAGTGACCTAACCGGGCTTGAGCGGGAACCTGTCGGTTCTAAGTCAAACGGTTCAACAGGGTTACTGCGTGCAAAATTAAAGATAGGATGAAAAGGCATTATCTAACAGGGGACGAATTCCGTTACCTACAGCGAAACTAAAATCAAAAGTGACGTTCTGACGTCATCCGGATTGTTTCGTTTGAGATTATCATCTTCAGCACTCTGTATCTTTGGTATGTGATGTCTGCAGTATTCCCAGCGTTTCAACACATTGCCAAAAGACACCTGTTATAGCATCGCAGAAAGAAATATTCTTTTCAGAAAGCAGCATTGTCTCTACCGTGTTCCTGAATGTTGCATGCTGACCTCCTGATCGATATATGTCATGCTTCGGCTCGGCTGCCACGCGAGCAGTTCATGGGCTGGAAAAAATGGTATATACTCAACCAGCTTGTCTAATACGGTCAACCTCCATTTTCGATTCTTCAGATTCAGAGGTTACCTGAAAGGAAAAGTCATTCCTTACACGTCCTGCCGTTTATCATCATTACGCATCAAAGCCAATGTTGGATAAGCAAATGCACGTTCGTCCTTGATCTTTCATTAGAACAACTTTCTCAGTGCCATGCAAAAACATTCCCTTAACAGAGGCAAGGTCAAGCAGGATTTTCATGGGAAAAATAACTCTTTCTTCAACCCAAATATTGCACAAATTTATACTGAAATTTCGGTGAATAATCCAACATTGGAAATAATGGAGAAGAGATACCCAAAATAATTAACCTCTTGAAGGACTTCACCTCACAGTTACACTTGTAAATCAGCTGTTGGATAGGCTCCTCAAACTTTTAACTTCCGAGCAATAACGAAAAGCCGACTTTTGTAGTTGTGCTGCATACGAAAACCAGAAAGTCACAAAACCAACCTCCCGCACTGCACAAAATTACAACATAATCTGCGTACTTCAGATCAGCAAAATATCTCAAGGACATTTTTTACTCTGCTACCCTTTTGATCAAGACCTTCGTCTTTGCTCCAGGAAAGAAAGTCCTGAACAATGTTGAAGGCGAAAGTACATCTGCATGGATAGCTTCATGGCTAACAGTGAGTCATTCAGAAAGCTCTCCTTCAACTTTGACTGCAGATACGGCTCCAGCATACGTATTTTCGAATATAGAAACAATGTGCTCAGGTATCCCATATCATTACAAAAATTTCAAGATCGTCAGACGAAGTCTGTACTACTTAGTTCGTAGTCACAACTTCTGGCATGGGCATGTGAAAAAAACGTGGCAATTACGATTTTATGCGTTTCACAAATCTCATTTTCTGCAAGGTTATGGGGTGGTTTGGCATAATGCAAAATTCTATCATGCGTTCTTCAGAGGTAAATATAAATAAACTAGGTATGGTGCTGCCAACTTATATGGTATAAATACCAAATAGGTCAGTGGTAAATTAGTTGAACTTTCGAGTTCACAGACCCATTGCTAAGCTATCGTTAAGCAGGTTCGTGATTTCAACCAAACTTACGAGTCGCCCGCCGCTCCGGAAACGCAGGTCTGATGCGCAGCTTGGCGTGGTCGAAAAACGTCACAACCTCGTAGTGATAAATTTCGTTCGCACACGAAGCGTACCTCTAGAAAAATACTGATTCAATCAAAGGCAAGGAAGAAAGAAAAAAAATTTCCCGCGTTGAAAATAACAGTTTCCACCTACATCCATCACCACCTGGTATCCTTGAGGTAAAACTGCCTTGAGCCAACTGATCAAATCGCGAAACGGCTTTAGCGCTGTGAAAATCAAATCATGCTTTGGGAGGCTCCAGTCAACGACTGGGATCGTTTCCTGTACCTGAAACAATGTTAGGTCAAAAACTGAGGTTTCCACAAATAGAAATGTAATTGCGAATTGCTCAACGGCAATTACTTACCAGAGTGTTGAACAAC